GATTGTTGAAATAGCCTTTAAAAAAGGCTGTTGTTTTAGAAAAAGTTGCAAAAAGTCTCAGAATATATTACTGTGGCATACAAAGCAAGAAAATAGGCATATGTCTGTGGCTTTTCCTACCAAAACATGTCTCGTATACCTGCCTGACACGGAGAATTGTGTCGCTTGAAATTCAAAAGATAACTTTATTTTCATTGGCTGAACAACCAACAAAGGTTTCTCATAAGTCAGTGAAATGACTTGGTGGAGACGATGCACATAGGCCACACCCCATCGATGGGGAGGGGCCACACCCCATAGGCCACACCCCATCGATGGCGAGGGGCCACACCCCATAGGCCACACCCCATCGATTGGGAGGGGCCACACCCCATAGGCCACACCCCATCGATGGGGAGGGGCCACACCCCATAGGCCACACCCCATCGATGGGGAGGGGCCACACCCCATAGGCCACACCCCATCGATTGGGAGGGGCCACACCCCATAGGCCACACCCCATCGATGGGGAGGGGCCACACCCCATAGGCCACACCCCATCGATGGGGAGGGGCCACACCCCATAGGCCACACCTCATCCATGGGGAGGGGCCACATACCATAGGCCACACCCCATCGATGGGGAGAGGCCACACCCCATCGATGGGGAGGGGCCACACCCCATAGGCCACACCCCATCGATGGGGAGGGGCCACACCCCATAGGCCACACCCCATCGATGGGGAGGGGCCACACCCCATAGGCCACACCCCATCGATGGGGAGGGGAGTAAAAACCTCGTAAGAGCTGTCGACAATTTGCATGTCAACGTGAGCATGATCTACTTCCGTGGATCTAAAAACAGATGGTCTATGGAAAAAAAATTAATGGGGGTTTCCTTAATCTTTAAGTATGGATTGGGTCTCTTATATATGCAAGTATATGAAAAAAATATATAGCTTTTGGCATATTATTTTAACGTTTCACAAAACCGCGGCGTATTTTTAATAATCGATTTGTCAACGGCTAAGCTCTCAACAAACGACGAGCCCTCGGTCTCACTAGCTGGCTTTTTAGTGCAGCTAATTTGGTTGTAAGGGCAGCTAGCTGGCACAAATGGCAGCTAGCAAACTAATATCTGTTAACAAGCTGAATCATATGGGCAGCCTAGCTAGGGGAAAATGGGCAGGCAGCTAAAATAAAGGGATAGCTAGTTACGGTAAGTAAAATAACGAACAGCTTGCCATAATGACGCCCTTCAAACTGTCCTGTTATGCAGAATGAACTGACTCGTTGGTGAATATTGTATCATGTCACAGCGTATTGTAGCGTGCCGACCAGTGGCTCAGTTGTACAGAAGCGCTGCACTCTCTGAGAGGCTCTCGTTTTAAGCATGCGCTGCATGTGCCAAGGGGCCCCAGGTGTTACGCTCGATGTGTGCACCGAGGGGCCTGGTGGCCCTAGTGGTCAGATTACACTTTAAGCCCCAGGGGCCTCGGGGCCCAAGTGGTCAGCTCTTTAAACGCCAAAGGGGCCCGGGGGACCTCGCATTGTAAGCCCCGAGGGGTCTGGGGGGCCCTAGTGGTGAGCTCACATTTGAAACACCAAGGGGCCCTAGTGGTGAGCTCACGCTATAAGCACCCAGGGGCCTTGTGGTCAGCTTGCGCTGTGCGCACACTGAGGGCCCTGGCGTCCAACTTCCTTCGGAAGTCTTGGGCCAAGCACCGTGCGTGGCCTGAGGCTTGGAGGCCCCGGGGCACTGGCCCGGTCCATAATCCAGCTTTGCGTACACAGACTCGACACTGCACCATAGACTAAACACTGCAATTTAACCCATTGAATCCTCTCGATCCCAAATCGTGCGCGAAATCTGATGAACTACAAATAGACAATCAACACGCACGGCGCCGATTGTTCAGGATTGTCCAACGGTAATAACAGGTCAGCCAAATACAGAGCAGGTCTACGGACAATAGCCTTGTAAATTATTCAGTTCAAATGAGTTTAATAGAGTCTTAAGAGTAGGCTTTTACCCTTTCTGGCAATAAAACAGGAGGTCTCAAGTTGTTCAAACGCCAAATAAATACCGTTCGCAAGGAATCCCTTACTGCATTAAGCGCACTTGTGGCACAGAAATGCAAACAAACATGGCTCTGATAACAATCTTGATTTGAGGCTTGCGTGACTGCAGGAATCCACAGTCTTTGGTTCTTTCGGTAAAGTCACATAAGGTAGAACAATAAAATAAATCAACGTTTCGATCGCAACACCAAGCGGTTCCGCTCGTTCAGCGGTTCCACTGCTGGATTATATTTTTTCCGCCTGAGGACGACCGCTTGTGTTTTGCGATCGAACCGTCGTGATTTAATTCTAGATTTAAATTAAGCAACCATTGGAAAGATGTTCTAAATCGAACCAAACAGTAAACTAATTTTCAATGGTACAGTATATTTGTCAAGTAGTGGTACCCCAAACTTTCGCAGCTCTTAAAAATTCCCTTTTCACACCATCAATAGGTAAACTCCCCCTTCCCCCCTTGCCAACCGGCATGTTCACCCGCATGTACACTACCTCTACACCGTTCATCATGCTAAGTCGGCCAATCAAATGCTAATTTTTTATGCTAATTCCTTTGTCAAGGCACCTTGTTTTCTCGCACACAGCTTAAAGGTCCGCGGTCTGAGTGTGGCTGTGCTTCACTCCAGCGCTGTCCTCGAGACAGTCTGCTCCCTTCACCTGATGAAGGCCGCTTGTGTTGTGGCCGAAACGTCGTGATTTTTGTTGTTTTATTTTTTACCTACGTGACTTTACCGAATAGAACCAAAGAATACGTCGTGATTTAGTTTATTTTATACCTACGTGACTTTACCGAAATAACCAAAGGGCCTGATAATAATGTACACATTGAATTTGAAACCGATTGGCCTACACCAGAGACGTCCTGCTTTTATTGCCTCGTCTCACCCACGAGTGTCCGACCGGAGAACGACAAAAGTCGAAGGGCACAAAGACGACGCGCCTAGCAGAGGGCAGCTTGGGGTGAGCAGCTTCAGGACGCGTGCACACAAAAAAGGTCCGGCGGATAGCAATCGTCGGTGAGCATAGACAACCCCGCTGATGAACGGTCGATCACCCCTAGATTTAAAGCTTTCGTGACTGCAAGGATCCATACTCTTTGGTTCTATTCGGTAAAGTCACGTAGGTAAAAAAAAAAACAACAAAAATCACGACGTTTCGGCCACAACACAAGCGGCCTTCATCAGGTGAAGGGATCAGGCTGTCTCGAGGACACGCTCAGACCGCGACCTTTAAGCTGTGTGCGAGGAAACAAGGTGCCTTGACAAAGGAATTAGCATAAAAATGAGCATTTGATTGGCCGACTTAGCATAGAGGTGGTGTACGTGCGGGTGGACTTGCCGTTTGGCGCGGGGGGGGGGGGGAGTTTACCTATTGATGGTGTGAAAAGGGAATTTTTAAGAGCTGCGAAAGTTTGGGGTACCACTACTTGAAAAATATACTGTACCATTGAAAGTTAGTTTAATGTTTAGTACGATTTAGAACATCATTCCAATGTCCCGCCTCTGAAACTCGAAGCTCCAAACCGGCTCGCAGAAGAACGCTGCCCCACGCGGTACAAGCAGGGTCAAGGCGCAGCCCTGCGACCTCCAGTAGAGGCCAATCCAGAGGGGGCCCCATCCAGAGGGTACTTGGCCTACTCTTCCGTGCTGGCCCAGACGTCTTGGAAAAGGTGGCAGTCCCCAGGGCCGGAACAACCCAGAGGCTAAAAAGGCCCTCTCGTGTGTTGTAAGCCCCACACCACCATTCCACGTGGAAGGAACAGCTGAGCGACGGGGACAGCTGAGCGACGGTGGCAGCTGAGCGGCGGGGACAGCTGAGCCACAGTGATAGCTGAGCCACAGTGATAGCTGAGCCACAGTGACAGCTGAGTCACAGTGACAGCTGAGCCACAGTGACAGCTGAGCCACAGTGACAGCTGAGCCTCAGTGATAGCTGAGCCACAGTGACAGCTGAGCGAAGGTGGTAGCTGAGCCGCCACGGTGGCAGCTGAGCGACAGTGATAGCTGAGCCACAGTGATAGCTGAGCCACAGTGATAACTGAGCCACAGTGATAGCTGAGCCACAGTGGCAGCTGAGCCACAGTGACAGCTGAGCCACGGCCACAGCTGAGCGAAGGTGGTAGCTGAGCCGCCACGGTGGCAGCTGAGCGACTGACAGCTGAGTTACAGTGACAGCTGAGCCACAGTGATAGCTGAGCCACAGTGACAGCTGAGCTACCGTGACAGCTGAGCCGCAGTGACAGCTGAGCGACCGTGACAGTTAAGCCGCGGCGGCAGCTGAGCGACCGTGACAGCTGAGCGAAGGTGGTAGCTGAGCCGCCACGGTGGCAGCTGAGCCACAGTGATAGCTGAATAACCGTGATAGTTAAGCCGCGGCGGCAGCTGAGCGACTGTAGCGCACGCATTGGCCTAAATCTGCCTTTGAATTACCACGACGTCGTTCACGCACACTCGGACGATAGAACGCTGAATGAGTGTCCGTGATGTTTGATTCATTTATTTCGAGTCGAATAAATCTGTTAATATTTACAAAGGTAAATAAAGAATTTTCGTTTGATGAATTCGTGTTTTGTATTTTTATTCCCGCAACACGTAATACTCACACATACCCAGTGGGCCCTTCCCTTCTGTTCGCCTTGGGCACCTCATAACCTTAATCCGGCCCTGGGAGTACCCACGCTTTACCCCACCGAACGTGATTCTGCCGATCGACTGCGGCGTAGCGACAAACGCTCCTGGGTGGGGACAGGTTTAAGAAACTGTCAGCGCGGTATTTTTTTATCAGCCGCCGCGCCAGGAGATGGAATCGAACCGGCGACCTCTGGGGTCGCAAGCCCTTCCGCGTGCTGACCACCGACTCCTCTGCTGTGGCAGCGGTGGCAACCCTCAAAGTGACCCAAGCGTAAGGATCGAATCAATCGACGCGTAAACATCTCCCCCCATCTAACCCCCCTCGGCCCTCCCCGGGCCCCGCACACCGGGATCCTGGGCGCCCACCCCACCTCGTCCCGGCGAGGCCGGCACCACGGCTCGCCCCACCGCACCCACGGATCCGCCCTGGCGGGTGGTGACCCCCCGTGATCCACCGTCCCTCGGCCCCGTGACCCCCAGGCTCTCACCTCCGGACACCGCCTCCTCCATCTCAGACCCCGCCCCCTCCATCCCAGGCTCCACTTTGGGCCACGCCCCCTCCATCCCAGACGCCGCCCCCTCCATACCAGACTCCACCAAGGGCCACGCCCCCTCTACGCCAGACCCCGCCCCCTCCATCCCAGACCCCGGCCCCTCCACCTCAGGCTCCACCGCGGACCCCGCCCCCTCCACCTCAGGCCCCTCTCTCCCGGGACCCGCCCCCTCACCCCCAGGCACCGCGGCGAAGTCGGTGGCGTCTTCGGTGGGCACGCGGCGAACGAGCTCCCCGCGTGCTGCCAGGATCTCCTCGATGTTCCTGCCGGCATAGCCAGGGGTCAGACAGGGGGAGAAATCCGATGAGCTATGAAGCTCTCTATCACAGATGTACGTACGTACGGTGAACTTTTTTCGCACCGTGCATGGCCAACCGTGCTAATCGGTGTAGCGAACTAAACACAAAAACTAAACACAAAAAGCAGTTACGAAAAGGAATGCGTTTTCAATCCAGGTGATTTAAAAGTGCCAAAGCTCCAAGTGGCTTCAAGGAAAGAGCGTTCCAGACGGCCGCAGAAGCGCATCCGAAAGCGCCGCGCAATGCAGCGGTCACCACCGCCTTTGCCCGACGGTTTTCCAAAAGCCGCCGCTGCTACTGCTGCTGCTGCTGCGAGGATGAGCAGAGTGTCGCGTGGCGATGGTGGTTTATGCTTCTTGACGAGGTCAGCGAGGAGTTGCGTGGTTAATTGCGTGGAAAGCACTTTGCGTGCCATGCAGTGCCGGATGAAGCTAGTGCGGGGCCCGTAGCATATGTTAGGGGCCCTAAATATAAAAAAAACGCGTCAATATTAAAACACACAAATTTTTCACTTGCATAGTAAAGTAATTGTATTTTTTCATTTGCTACACAGCCAGATAATATGACAAATCGCTAAACTTAAACACCCAGTCGTTCATAAAAGTTGAAGGCGGTACAGTACTATAGTAATAGAGCAAGTGCAGAATAAGTGAACCGGATAGCTTGAAAGCATTTGGCGCGGGGCCCTTGAAAGTGCGGGGCCTGTAGCTACTACACATGTAGTAGCTACTTGTGCTACTAAGATAATCCGGCACTGGTGTCACGAGTGCGACCTTGGAATGTGTTCGTTCGACGAGCAGTAGGTCAAACTAGATTTGATGCTTTCGTGACTGCAGGAATTGTTTGTTTTTTTCGGTAAAATCACGTAGAAATAAGAAAAATAAAATTACATAATATACGACATTTCGATTGCAACAAAAGCAATCATCATCAGGTAGAGGAAACACATAACCACAGATATATATACAGACCTTACGTAGGGGGAATTAACACAGATATACCAGGGGATACAGAGAGACGAAACATTACACTAAATTAAACAGGGTTTAGCAAAATTTGGAAACTAAACCCTGTTTGATTTAGTGTAATGTTCCATCTCTCTGTATCCCCTGGTATATCTGTGTTAATTCTCCCTACTTAAGGTCTGTATATATATCTGTGGTTGTGTGTTTCCTCTACCTGATGATGATTGCTTGTGTTGCAATTGAAACGTCGTATATTATGTAATTTTCTTTTTCTTATTTCTACGTGACTTTACTGAAAAAAAACAAAGAGCAGTAGGTCACCAAGGTGGACAGCCAGGGGGACGGTCAGTCAGGTGAACGAGGGGACAGCTCGGGGCATCGGACATGGGGATGGACAGACAAGGACCTGTGGGGGGGTCACTGGGTCACAGAGGGTCAGGGGTTATGGAGATTGCGGGGGCGCTAGAGAGGTCAAGGGTGAGACGGGGAGAGAGTTCAGCCAAGGTGAGCAGAGGTTAGGGTGGGCAGGGGTGGGACAGGGGTTCGACAGGGGTTAAACAGGGTCAGGCAGGGGCTTGATAAGGCAGGGACAGAGAGGGGGACAGCAGGGGAGCAGCCAGGGGTCAGACGGGGGATCAGCGGGCGAGTCGAATAGAGACAGACAGGTGGAGACCAGCAGGTCAGTTCAGATGGGGTCGTACAACGGGCAACCAACCAGGTGGTCAGACAGAGGGATAGACTGGCAGGCAGGCACGGGATCACACGGTCAGACAAAAAACAGCCAGACAGGCAGGTAAGAGTTGGGGGGTGGGGGGGTCAAGGAGTTAGATGGGGAGCCAGACACGAGGTGGTGAGATGTGGGCTCATTCCAACCCAGACGCCTGCAGCTGTATATTTGGAATTTGCGTGTCTCTCTCTTCCCCATGGTGAGATGTTAACTACCTCGCCTGGTATACAGGAGGTCGTGGGCTCAATTCCAACCCAGACGCCTACTGCATATTTGGAATTTGCGTGTCTCTCTCTTCCCCATGGTGAGATGTTAACTACCTCGCCTGGTATACAGGAGGTCGTGGGTTCAATCGCGACCCTGACGCCTGCTGCTGTATATTTGGAGTTTGCGTGTCTCTCTCTCATCATCATCATCACGGTGGCAGGAGATGTTAACTACCTCGCCTGGTATACAGGAGGTCGTGGGTTCGATCCCGACCCTGACGCCTGCTGCTGCTGTATATTTGGCGTTTGCGTGTTCCCTCTCCCCGTGTTCACTCGGATTTTTCTCCGGATCTTCCGGTTTTCCCCCTCCACATTTAGAATCAATCTCACACGTTTTAGGGTATTTGGCCGCTATAACTTTTCACGATGACGATGAGCCACTTCGTTGAACAATCATTTGTGATGGCCAGGTCGCTTCTGAAAAAAGAGCTGTACAGCTCAGTGGGCCTTACCTGGTAAAATAAAAAGAAATATTTAAGTTTTGATATGGGTCTCAATAATGAGTAGGGGCCTCTATTGGTCTCTGCGAGTTTCTGTGGGTCTCTTTGGGTCTCTATTCGTCTCTGGGTCTCTGTGAGTCTCTGTGGATCTATGGGGTGGGGGGCGGGGGGGGGGCAGTGGGGGGTGGAAGTAGGGGAAGGGCAGTGGGGGGTACGGGGGGCAGCAGGGGGAGGGGGCAGTGGGGGGAGGGGGCAGCGGGGTGTTGGGATGGCCGGAGGTCGATGAGCGAATCGACGGCAAGACAAAAGGCGCCACGGATCTCATCGGATCCCTCCTCCTCCTCCTCCTGCGGTCTCTAAACAAAGACTCCGATTGAGTCTCTCGCCCCGGCGTACGCACCGCTTGCCCTCCAGGTCGGAGAACCAGCGCAGGTTGTCGGCGATGATGTGGTGATTCCCGCAGCCTGGGCAGGTCACGATCACCACGCCGCTGTGGTACGCCGCCTTCGAGATGCGCTTGGCTGTGCGGGTGCTGCACACCTGAGGTCGCACGGACAAAAGAAGACAAAGATCCTTGAATCTAGACTTGAAGCTTTCGCGACTGCGGTAAAGTTCACGTGGGTGAGAAATAAAATAAAATAAATCACGAGTTTTCGATTGCAATACAAGCAATCATCATCATCATCAGCAAAAAAAAATTATTGCTGTGGTTTTCCCACCTGAGGACGATCGCTTGCGTTGCATTCGAAACGTCGTGATTTATTTTATTTTATACCGACGCGACTTTACCGAAAGAACCAAAGAGTAAAGAACCTTAACTTTAGACTGCAGGAGGGAGGAGGAGGGGGGGGGGGAGGAGGAGGCAGGTCAGCTACATTATTAAATGCTTTTGATCCCAAAAGTTAAGCAAGTCGTGAAAAATAAATGCCAAGAAATCAAGTACATGAGCACGAACTAAAACGACACTATTTTTGTTTATTTTACCAAGCAAGGCCCCACTGAGCTACGTGGCTCTTTGTCAGAAGCGACCTGCCCACAAATGACAGCTCAACGAAGTGGCTTATCATCATCATCATGGGGACATTCACGGCGGCAAAATAATCTAAACGCACGCTTCTCAGACAAAGGTCCTGTGAATGCCGGCACGGCTCACCATGGCACGGGGTTGGCGGGCAAGCGCCACCGCCCGGCCCGCCTGCCGAGTCGACACCGAGGGGCGGCCCAGGACCCGTTCAAATTTTCCGTCGCCGGGTGCCTCGTGCAGCGCGCTAACCGCTGCGCCGCCGCTCCCCGTGCGCGCACGCATGCAATCACGCCTGGTTATCGGTGCAGCGGTGGGGGTGGCACGGGGGTGGCACGGGGTGGCACGGGGGTGGCATGGGAAGCGCCACGGGGTGCGGCACCTTGCAGGTGAACACCAGCTGGTAGTGCGGCTGCTTCACGGCCCCGAGTGCCGTCGCCGCCCCCGCCGGGTCCGCGTCCGCTCCGCTGCAAAGGCCCCGCCAGGCCCGCTGGTGCCCAGCCGGCGCAGGCGGGGCAAGCGAGGGCCGTAGCGTCGGCCTGCGGGCCGGGGCGGGGGAGACGGCACCAGCAACGGCGTCACGGCGTCGCGGCGAGACGGAGAACCCGCTCGGAAGCGGACATCACAGAGCTACCTCTGAGACCCGCTACTTCTTCTCCAAGTGACGCTCCGGTCATTACAGAACGCCCCGCGGAAGCGGTCCCCTTGGTGGCCTTCAGTGCGGCCCCTTAACGTGCAGTCCCCCCCCGTTACAATGCACAAAGAGTGACAACACCACCACCCATCATCATCATCGTCGTCGTCGTCGTCGCTGCGCTGCTGTCCAAACACCCCCAACAGTTCCGCAAATGGCGTGGCGGCCCCTTGCTCACACTGATGATGTCTTATCGGCGAAAGTGCCGCCGCCACCACCCCCGCCCCCCCTCCTCCGCCTCTGAACACGAGTGAAGGACGCCGGGTTGGAGGCACCCACCAAGAGGCGAGGGCGCGATGGGCTGCTGCCAGCGGCCCTTGGAGTCCCTCTGACCCACGGACGCCGGGGGGCGTCGCGAGTCCGGGCCGGGACGCGCGAATCTTCCGGCCGACGCCGGCCGCGAGTCGCGTCGCCGCCGCCACGAGTCCCCGCATGCCTCTCGTACCGCCCCACCCCGCTCCGCTGTGGCCGTGGCCCGGGCGAGGGAGAGACTCGGTTCTAGAGAGGGGGCGGCGACGGGGGGGGGGGGGACGGGGGCTGGATCTCAAAAGTCGAAGGGCGGCTTCTCTCCGCTAGGTGCCAGGGTCCGCGTTTTAGAGGTCGCAGGGATCGGGCGTCGTCAGGGTCCGGGCGTCAAAGTTATAGGACACGGAACCCATAGCTTCCAACCCCTTATCAGTGCCCTACCTTATTACAGACCAGTTCAGACCTTATTGGTCACCCCGTGCCCCTTATAAATCTCAACGTTCATCCTACAAAGTTCTATCACAAGAGAGAAACACAAATAGACAATGACCACTACTACACTAACCACGAGTTCACTCACCACTACATACCTGTCAACCCCTTATCAGTGCCCTATCATATAACAGACCAATTCAGACCTTATTGATCACCCCGTGCACATCATAAATCTCACCGTTCATCCTACAAAGTCCCATCACAAGGGAGAAACACAAACAAATAGACACAACATTTTGTATTGTTGCCTGAATTTGAAAACGGCTGTATGCCGTATGGACCTGAAAACTCAATTCCCCTGTTCAAGAATACGGGTAAACCGTATGGGTTGACAGTTATGCAGAACCGATCCAGGTTCCAGATCCCACAGCCTGGGGTTTGTCTGGTCTCAATGTCGTCCGTAGCCCAGAGGTGTGAGTCTTAATGTCCGGGGTTTTGTCTGGTCCCAATGTCGTCCGTAGCCCAGAGGTGCGAGTATTAATGTCCGGAGTTTTGTCTGATCCCAATGCCGTCCGTAGCCCAGAGGTGTGAGTCTTAATGTCCGGGGTTTTGTCTGATCCCAATGTCGTCCGTAGCCCATAGGTGTGAGTCTTAATGTCCGGGGTTTTGTCTGGTCCCAATGTCGTCCGTAGCCCAGAGGTGTGAGTCTTAATGTCCGGGGTTTTGTCTGGTCCCAATGTCGTCCGTAGCCCAGAGGTGTGAGTCTTAATGTCCGGGGTTTTGTCTGGTCCCAATGTCGTCCGTAGCCCAGAGGTGTGAGTCTTAATGTCCGGGGTTTTGTCTGGTCCCAATGTCGTCCGTAGCCCAGAGGTGTGAGTCTTAATGTCCGGGGTGTTAAGCTTCGCCTGCCAAAAATGTTGGTCCGTATGTCGCCAACCGTGCTAATCGGAGGTGCGGGGGAAGTACAACAAACTAAACACACACACAAACAACAAAAAAACTAAACACCACCACAGACGAGGTTGTCAGAGACCAGTACGAACTCACTCAAGGGTCCGAGTCTCATGAGCTGGTGGGTCTCAGGGGTTTACCTGCCGAGATTTATTCTGCCGCGCTTCAAGGTTCCCAGGCTACGGAGCCAGAGTTCTAGTCTCAGTGTTTTCAGGCGTAACAGAGTTCTAGACCCAGGGTTTGCAGGTGTATCAGAGTTCTAGACCCAGTGTTTTCAGGCGTAACAGAGTTCTAGACCCAAGGTTTACAGGTGTACCAGAGTTCTAGTCCAAGGGTTTTGCAGGTGTAGCAGAGTTCTAGTCCAAGGGTTTGCAGATGTACCAGAGTTCTAGTCCAAGGGTTTGCAGGTGTACCAGAGTTCTAGTCCAAGGGTTTGCAGGTGTACCAGAGTTCTAGTCCCAGGGTGTGCAGGTGTACCAGAGTTCTAGTCCCAGGGTGTGCAGGTGTACCAGAGTTCTAGTCCAAGGGTTTGCAGGTGTACCAGAGTTCTAGTCCCAGGGTTTTGCAGGCGTAGCAGAGTTCTAGACCCAGGGTTTGCAGGTGTACCAGAGTTCTAGTCCCAGGGTTTACAGGTGTACCAGAGTTATATACCCAAGGTGTGCAGGTGTACCAGAGTTCTAGTCCCAGGGTTTGCAGGTGTACCAGAGTTCTAGTCCCAGGGTGTGCAGGTGTACCAGAGTTCTAGACCCAGGGTGTGCAGGTGTACCAGAGTTCTAGTCCCAGGGTTTGCAGGTGTACCAGAGTTCTAGTCCCAGGGTTTGCAGGTGTACCAGAGTTCTAATCCAAGGGTTTGCAGGTGTAGCAGAGTTCTAGTCCAAGGGTTTGCAGGCGTAGCGAAGAAGACGCAAGCGCCTGGTCTAGCACCCAGGGAGTTAGAGTCTCAAGGGTTGGAGGTTCGATTTCCCCGATGGTGGCTTTGTCTCTCTCTCTCTCACACACACACACACACCCCCGCTGCGTAGTTTTCCAAACATTCGCGAATCGATGGCGCAGGGTCTAAGCTGTCAGTGGCAATGGATTCGGAGTACCCAGAACCCGGAGTGGCAGGTTCGAGGACCTGACACTGCTCCCACTCTTGTCTCAAGGGGGTCGACTCTGTAAACCCAGAGTTCCAGGTTCCAGGTTCGACTCCCCACCCCAATCACTGCCACTCACGCCGTCTCAAGCAGTCAACTCTCTGGTCCCAGAGTTCCAGGTTCCAGGTTCGAGTCCCGATCCCAATCACTGCCACTCACGCCGTCTCAAGCAGTCAACTCTCTGGTCCCAGAGTTCCAGGTTCCAGGTTCTAGTCCCCACCGCAGTCTGCCACTCACGCTGTCTCAAGCAGTCGACTCTCCGGTCACCAGGTTCCCAGAGTTCCAGGTTCGAGTCCCGACCCCAATCACTGCCACTCACGCTGTCTCAGGCGGTCGACTCTCCGGTCCCAGAGTTCCAGGTTCCAGGTTCGAGTCCCCACCCCAATCACTGCCACTCACGCCGTCTCAAGCAGTCGACTCTCCGGTCACCAGGTTCCCAGAGTTCCAGGTACGGGTCCCCACCCCAATCACTGCCACTCACGCGGTCGCAAGCGGTCGATTCTCCGGTCTCAGAGTTCCAGGTTCCAGGTTCGAGTCCCGATCCCAATCACTGCCACTCACGCCGTCTCAAGCGGTCGATTCTCCGGTCCCAGAGTTCCAGGTTCGAGTCCCCACCGCAGTCACTGCCACTCACGCCGTCTCAAGCAGTCGACTCTGCGGTCACAAGGTCACCAGGTCACCAGGTCCCCAGAGCTCCAGGTTCCAGGATCGAGCCCCGATCCACGCACTCAACCCACCACGGCGGACACGTGGGGTGGCGCGGGGTGGGGCGAGGAGGGTGAGGAGGGTGGAGCCACTTCTCAGTGTCGGGGTCGCCCATTGGCTGCTTCGGGCGGCGAGTCCGTGGGCGTGGCGGGACTGTGCGCGAGTTCAAGGCCGCCTGCGATTGGACAGAACGGTGGTGGGGGTGGGGGCCCGGGCGGCGGCTCGGGCGAGTGGTGGAGCACCGCGCGCCGTGCACCCCCCCCACGCCCCGCCCCTTTACCCCCCGCCTCCACCGCCCCCCCCACTGGCCACACGCGTGGCGACCCGGGATCGAACGCGGCCGCTTCGGCCTCCTCGGGTGATCAACAGCAGCAGCAGCCTCGGTGCGGTGGTGGGTGGGTGAATAGGGGCGCGTGTGTGGTTGTGTGGGTGGTTGTGTGTGTGTGTGGGTGGTTGTGTGGGTGGGTGGTTGTTGTGGGTGGTTGTTGTGGGTGGTTGTTGTGGGTGGTTGTTATGGGTGGTTGTGTGGATGGGCGCGTGTGTGTGTGTGGGTGGTTGTGTGGGTGGGTGGTTGTTGTGGGTGGTTGTTATGGGTGGTTGTGTGGATGGGTGTGTGTGTGGTTGTGTGTGTGTGTGGGTGGTTGTGTGTGTGTGGGTGGTTGTGTGGGTGGTTGTTGTGGGTGGTTGTTGTGGGTGGTTGTTATGGGTGGTTGTGTGGATGGGTGTGTGTGTGGTTGTGTGGGTGGTTGTGTGTGTGTGTGGGTGGTTGTGTGGGTGGGTGGTTGTGTGTGTGGGTGGTTGTGTGGGTGGGTGGTTGTGTGTGTGGGTGGTTGTGTGGGTGGGTGGTTGTGTGTGTGGGTGGTTGTGTGGGTGGGTGGTTGTGTGTGTGGGTGGTTGTGTGTGTGGGTGGTTGTGTGTGTGGGTGGTTGTGGGTGGTTGTGTGGGTGGTTGTGGGTGGTTGTGTGGGTGGTTGTGTGGATGGGTGGGTGGTTGTGTGGTTGTGTGGGTGGTTGTGTGTGTGGGTGGTTGTTGTGTGTGTGTGGTTGTGTGTGTGGGTGGTTGTGTGTGTGGGTGGTTGTGTGTGTGGGTGGTTGTTATGGGTGGTTGTGTGGATGGGTGTGTGTGTGGTTGTGTGGGTGGTTGTGTGTGTGTGTGGGTGGTTGTGTGGGTGGGTGGCTGTTGTGGGTGGTTGTGTGGATGGGTGTGTGTGTGGTTGTGTGGGTGGTTGTGTGTGTGTGGGTGGTTGTGTGGGTGGGTGGTTGTTGTGGGTGGTTGTTGTGGGTGGTTGTTGTGGGTGGTTGTTATGGGTGGTTGTGTGGATGGGTGTGTGTGTGGTTGTGTGGGTGGTTGTGTGTGTGTGGGTGGTTGTGTGGGTGGGTGGTTGTTGTGGGTGGTTGTTGTGGGTGGTTGTTATGGGTGGTTGTGTGGATGGGTGTGTGTGTGGTTGTGTGGGTGGTTGTGTGTGTGTGGGTGGTTGTGTGTGGGTGGGTGGTTGTGTGTGTGGGTGGTTGTGTGGATGGTTGTTGTGGGTGGTTGTGTGTGTGGGTGGTTGTGTGGGTGGTTGTGTGTGTGTGGGTGGTTGTGTGGGTGGTTGTGTGGGTGGTTGTGTGGTTGTGTGGATGGTTGTGTGGGTGGTTGTGTGGGTGGTTGTGTGTGTGGGTGGTTGTGTGTGGGTGGTTGTGTGTGGGTGGTTGTGGTTGTGTGGGGGTGGTTGTGGTTGTGTGGGTGGTTGCTCATTCAGAGGAGGAGTTGGAGATGCTGCTGCTGAGACTGGAGCGTGCCACTAAGAGATAGGGCCTTACTACCATCAGCCCCACCAAAACTAAGCACCTGCCTGGGTATTTTGTACCATCTTACACTCCACCCCCACAACTCCCAATCGGTGATGGGGCAGTTGTGGAGAGAGTGGAGAGTTTCCTATACCTGGGCAGTGTGCTCTTTTCATCGGCTGCGTAACGCTGTGTGGAAGCTACTTGGTCTGTCGCTCCGCACTAAGCTTCAGGTCTTCTCGGCCACGGTCATTCCCTCCCTTCTCTACGCTTGCGAAACGTGGACCCCCCCCCCCCCTAATGGAACATCTTCGCCGGTTAGAAACATTTAGGCTGGCCTGCCTACGATCCATCCTGGGTTTAACCAGCAGGCTGGATTGTGTGAGGAGCTCACAAATCCTTGAAAGATCTGGGCAAGGTCCCATCGGTGAGCTCCTCCGGCGGGCAAGGCTGCGATGGCTGGGTCATGTAGCCCGCATGCCCAGCCACCGCATGCCGAAACAGCTTTTGTTCGGCCGGATAGAGGGGGCTAAACGGGCGCGGCACGGGCTAGAGAAGAGATGGAGTGATGTGGTACAGGAGGACGTGGAGCTGAGTGGACTTGCCGATGACTGGTACCAGCGGTGTCAAGATCGGCCTCTGTGGAGGAGTCTCGTGCGTGGGTGGTTGTGTGGGTGTGTGTGTGTGTGCAGGTTGTTGTAGTGAAGATGGTTGCTGTGTGTGGGTGCAGCTTGTTGTAGTGTGTGGTGCAGGTTGTTGTAGTGAAGATGGTTGCTCTGTGTGGTGCAGGTTGTTGTAGTGAAGATGGTTGCCCTGTGTGCTGCAGCTTGTTGTAGTGTGTGGTGCAGGTTGTTGTAGTGAAGATGGTTGCTGTGTGTGGTGCAGGTTGTGAAGATGGTTGCTGTGTGTGGTGCAGGTTGTAGTGAAGATGGTTGCTGTGTGTGGTGCAGGTTGTTGTAGTGAAGATGGTTGCTCTGTGTGGTGCAGGTTGTTGTAGTGAAGATGGTTGCCCTGTGTTCTGCAGCTTGTAGTGAAGATGGTTGCTGTGTGTGGTGCAGGTTGTTGTAGTGAAGATGGTTGCTGTGTGTGGTGCAGGTTGTAGTGAAGATGGTTGCTGTGTGTGGTGCAGGTTGTAGTGAAGATGGTTGCTGTGTGTGGTGCAGGTTGTTGTAGTGAAGATGGTTGCTCTGTGTGGTGCAGCTTGTTGTAGTGAAGATGGTTGCTCTGTGTGGTGCAGCTTGTAGTGACGATGGTTGCCCTGTGTGGTGCAGCTTGTAGTGAAGATGGTTGCTGTGTGTGGTGCAGGTTGTTGTAGTGAAGATGGTTGCCCTGTGTGGTGCAGCTTGTTGTAGTGAAGATGGTTGCCCTGTGTGGTGCAGCTTGTTGTAGTGAAGATGGTTGCCCTGTGTGCTGCAGCTTGTTGTAGTGTGTGGTGCAGGTTGTTGTAGTGAAGATGGTTGCTGTGTGTGGTGCAGGTTGTTGTAGTGAAGATGGTTGCTCTGTGTGGTGCAGCTTGCTGTAGTGAAGATGGTTGCTCTGTGTGCTGCAGGTTGTTGTAGTGAAGATGGTTGCTGTGTGTGGTGCAGGTTGTTGTAGTGAAGATGGTTGCTCTGTGTGCTGCAGGTTGTTGTAGTGAAGATGGTTGCTGTGTGTGGTGCAGGTTGTTGTAGTGAAGATGGTTGCTGTGTGTCCTGCAGCTTGTTGTAGTGAAGATGGTTGCCCTGTGTGGTGCAGCTTGTTGTAATGAAGATGGTTGCCCTGTGTTCTGCAGCTTGTTGTAGTGAAGATGGGTGCTGTGTGTGGTGCAGGTTGTTGTAGTGAAGATGGTTGCTGTGTGTGGTGCAGATTGTTGTAGTGAAGATGGTTGCTGTGTGTGGTGCAGGTTGTTGTAGTGAAGATGGTTGCTGTGTGTGGTGCAGGTTGTTGTAGTGAAGATGGTTGCCCTGTGTGGTGCAGCTTGTTGTAGTGAAGATGGTTGCCCTGTGTGCTGCAGATTGTTGTAGTGAAGATGGTTGCTGTGTGTGGTGCAGGTTGTTGTAGTGAAGATGGTTGCTCTGTGTGGTGCAGCTTGTTGTAGTGAAGATGGTTGCTCTGTGTGCTGCAGGTTGTTGTAGTGAAGATGGTTGCTCTGTGTGGTGCAGCTTGTTGTAGTGAAGATGGTTGCTCTGTGTGCTGCAGGTTGTTGTAATGAAGCTGGTTGCTGTTTGTGCTGCAGGTTGTTGTAGTGAAGATGGTTGCTGTGTGTGCTGCAGGTTGTTGTAGTGAAGATGGTTGCTCTGTGTGCTGCAGCTTGTTGTAGTGAAGATGGTTGCTGTGTGTGGTGCAGGTTGTTGTAGTGAAGATGGTTGCTCTGTGTGGTGCAGGTTGTTGTAGTGAAGATGGTTGCCCTGTGTGGTGCAGCTTGTTGTAGTGAAGATGGTTGGCCTGTGTGGTGCAGCTTGTTGTAGTGAAGATGGTTGCTGTGTGTGCTGCAGCTTGTTGTAGTGAAGATGGTTGCTCTGTGTGGTGCAGGTTGTTGTAGTGAAGATGGTTGCTGTGTGTGGTGCAGCTTGTTGTAGTGAAGATGGTTGCTCTGTGTGCTGCAGCTTGTTGTAGTGAAGATGGTTGCTCTGTGTGCTGCAGCTTGTTGCAGTGAAGATTGTTGCTCTGTGTGCTGCAGGTTGTAGTGAAGATTGTTGCTGTGTGTGGTGCAGGTTGTTGTAGTGAAGATGGTTGCTCTGTGTGGTGCAGATTCTTTTAGTGAAGATGGTTGCTCTGTGTGCTTCAGGTTGTTGTAGGGAAGATGGTTGCTGTATGTGGTGCCGCTTGTTGTAGTAAAGATGGTTGCTGTGTGTGCTGCAGGTTGTTGTAGTGAAGATGGTTGCCCTGTGTGGTGCAGCTTGTTGTAGTGAAGATGGTTGCCCTGTGTGGTGCAGCTTGTTGTAGTGAAGATGGCTGCTGTGTGTGCTGCAGCTTGTTGTAGTGAAGATGGTTGCTCTGTGTGGTGCAGGTTGTTGTAGTGAAGATGGTTGCTGTGTGTGGTGCAGCTTGTTGTAGTGAAGATGGTTGCTCTGTGTGCTGCAGCTTGTTGTCGTGAAGAGTGTTGCTCTGTGTGGTGCAGCTTGTTGTAGTGAAGATGGTTGCTCTGTGTGGTGCAGGTTGATTTAGTGAAGATGGTTGCTCTGTGTGCTTCAGGTTGTTGTAGGGAAGATGGGTGCTGTGTGTGGTGCAGCTTGTTGTAGTGAAGATGGTTGCTGTGTGTGCTACAGCTTGTTGTAGTGTGTGGTGCAGGTTGTTGTAGTGAAGATGGTTGCTGTGTGTGGTGCAGGTTGTGAAGATGGTTGCTCTGTGTGCTGCAGCTTGTTGTAGTGAAGATGGTTGCTGTGTGTGGTGCAGGTTGTTGTAGTGAAGATGGTTGCTCTGTGTGGTGCAGCTTGTTGTAGTGAAGATGGTTGCTCTGTGTGCTGCAGGTTGTTGTAGTGAAGATGGTTGCTCTGTGTGGTGCAGCTTGTTGTAGTGAAGATGGTTGCTCTGTGTGCTGCAGGTTGTTGTAATGAAGCTGGTTGCTGTTTGTGCTGCAGGTTGTTGTAGTGAAGATGGTTGCTGTGTGTGCTGCAGGTTGTTGTAGTGAAGATGGTTGCTGTGTGTGGTGCAGGTTGTTGTAGTGAAGATGGTTGCTCTGTGTGGTGCAGGTTGTTGTAGTTAAGATGGTTGCCCTGTGTGGTGCAGCTTGTTGTAGTGAAGATGGTTGGCCTGTGTGGTGCAGCTTGTTGTAGTGAAGATGGTTGCTGTGTGTGCTGCAGCTTGTTGTAGTGAAGATGGTTGCTCTGTGTGCTGCAGCTTGTTGTAGTGAAGATGGTTGCTCTGTGTGCTGCAGCTTGTTGCAGTGAAGATTGTTGCTCTGTGTGCTGCAGCTTTTAGTGAAGATTGTTGCTGTGTGTGGTGCAGGTTGTTTTAGTGAAGATGGTTGCTCTGTGTGCTTCAGGTTGTTGTAGGGAAGATGGTTGCTGTGTGTGGTGCCGCTTGTTGTAGTGAAGATGGTTGCTGTGTGTGCTGCAGGTTGTTGTAGTGAAGATGGTTGCCCTGTGTGGTGCAGCTTGTTGTAGTGAAGATGGTTGCCCTGTGTGGTGCAGCTTGTTGTAGTGAAGATGGCTGCTGTGTGTGCTGCAGCTTGTTGTAGTGAAGATGGTTGCTCTGTGTGGTGCAGGTTGTTGTAGTGAAGATGGTTGCTGTGTGTGGTGCAGCTTGTTGTAGTGAAGATTGTTGCTCTGTGTGCTACAGATTGTTGTCGTGAAGATTGTTGCTCTGTGTGGTGCAGCTTGTTGTAGTGAAGATGGTTGCTCTGTGTGGTGCAGGTTGATTTAGTGAAGATGGTTGCTCTGTGTGCTTCAGGTTGTTGTAGGGAAGATGGTTGCTGTGTGTGGTGCAGCTTGTTGTAGTGAAGATGGTTGCTGTGTGTGCTGCAGGTTGTTGTAGTGAAGATGGTTGCTCTCTGTGGTGCAGCTTGTTGTAGTGAAGATGGTTGCCCTGTGTGCTGCAGCTTGTTGTAGTGAAGATGGTTGCTCTGTGTGCTGCAGGTTGTAGTGAAGATGGTTGCTGTGTGTGGTGCAGGTTGTAGTGAAGATGGTTGCTCTGTGTGGTGCAGGTTGTAGTGAAGATGGTTGCTCTGTGTGGTGCAGCTTGTTGTAGTGACGATGGTTGCCCTGTGTGGAGCAACTTTTTGTCGTGAAGATGGTTGCCCTGTTTGCTGCAGCTTGTTGTAGTGAAGATGGTTGCTCTGTGTGGTGCAGCTTGTTGTAGTGAAGATGGTTGCTCTGTGTGGTGCAGCTTGTTGTAGTGAAGATGGTTGCTCTGTGTGCTGCAGCTTGTTGTAGTGAAGATGGTTTCTGTGTGTGGTGCAGCTTGTTGTAGTGAAGATGGTTGCTGTGTGTGCTGCAGGTTGTTGTAGTGAAGATGGTTGCTCTGTGTGGTGCAGCTTGTTGTAGTGAAGATGGTTGCCCTGTGTGCTGCAGCTTGTTGTAGTGAAGATGGTTGCTCTGTGTGGTGCAGCTTGTTGTAGTGAAGATGGTTGCTCTGTGTGGTGCAGCTTGTTGTAGTGAAGATGGTTGCTCTGTGTGCTGCAGCTTGTTGTAGTGAAGATGGTTGCTGTGTGTGGTGCAGCTTGTTGTAGGGAAGATGGTTGCTGTGTGTGGTGCAGCTTGTTGTAGTGAAGATGGTTGCCCTGTGTGGTGCAGCTTGTTGTAGTGACGATGGTTGCCCTGTGTGCTGCAGCTTGTTGTAGTGAAAATGGTTGCCCTGTGTGGAGCAACTTTTTGTCGTGAAGATGGTTGCCCTGTTTGCGGCAGGGGGAGTTGGTTCAGTGGAGGGGAGCGAGGGAGAGCGAGGCTGGGCCAAGGTTGGCGAGGGAGGGACACGGAGAGCGACGGTGGAGACTTGGAGCATTGGGGACGGGACTGCACAGGGTAGTGAGATGTAACTCATCCGACCCCACGGCAGTCTCTGTCCCTCGTGTGGAAACTGCGGGCAGAGGGCTCGTGTGTCGGCATGCGTGCACGCGTGTCCGTACAACGCACGTCAGTTGTGACATCTGGCACAGCATTCAACTCATGGCACCTGGGTCTGTCCCGGGACCTTTACCTGTACCTAGCCTGGCACCAGCAGTCAACCCACGGCACCTGGGTCCATCCCGTTACCTGCCAGCAACGGCGAGCTTTCCACATGTCACATGACTGCCTCAAAGTGCACCCAGACTGGCGCAAGAGCCGTGGTGGTATTAGCGGTGAACGTAGGCTGCTGTTGCGTGCCTGCTTTCTGAGTGTTGGGGATGTCATCACGGCGCTTGTGCCAGGCAAGGTGCACGTTGAGGCCACGTGAAGTGCCGAACGCCCGCTGGCACGAGGTCACAGGGCAGACCCAGGTGCCACAAGTTGACTGACTGAGAGGACTGGCAGATGCACCACCTGTGCTCCCTACAGTGCTGTGTTTTAGCCGCCCAGCTCTCCGCTCGTTGTTGTGAGCGTTGCTCCTCTGCCCTCCGTTGTTGTTGGAGGGCGACTGCCTCCAACTGCCCAGTAGTGTCCTTCACGAGCCTCCTCCACAGAGGCCGATCTTGACACCGCTGGTACCGGTCATCGGCAAGTTCATTCAGCTCCACGTCCTCCTGTACCACATCACTCCATCTCTTCTCCAGCCTGTGCTGCGCTCGTTTAGCCCCCCCTCTATCCAGGCCAAACAGAAACAGTTTGGGCGTGCGATGGCCTTGGCATGCCACCACATGCATGGTGTGTGTCCCTTCGTTCCACACACACTTGGATACGGACGCAGATAAATATACGAGCAGACGGATGGTCACAAGTAATAATAATAATTATTATTTAACCTTGAAAGGGAATGAGCTTGCAAACTAACAACAGTAGCGGGTGGTTTTACACGAAACCCAGACCAGGTGCCACGTTTAGGAGGAGGAATCCGATGAGCTCTGAAGCTCTTTTCCCACTGATGTTCCAGTAGGTGCGGTAGGGGCGGCGGGTCAGACATTTAAAACAACAAACGATGCGATACTCAACTCAAACGAACCACCACACTTTTGATTTAAAGATTTTGTGACTGCAGGGATTCATATTCTTTTTATTTCGGTAAAGTCACGTAGAAGGGAAACAATAAAATAATACAAAATATAAAACAATGAAATTCTCACGACGTTTCGACTGCAGCACAAGCAATCAGCTGTGAAAACCACAAAAAGATGTGGAAACCCTCCCCGTAGAGGCGGTTAAATTTTGATTTAAATCTTTCGTGACTGCAGGGATTCATATTCTTGGTTCTTCCGGTAAAGTCAACACGTAGAAGGGAAACACACCCTATGCTGATTGCTTGTGTTGCAGTCGAAACGTCGTGAGAATTTTATCGTTTTATATTTTTATTATTTTATTGTTTCTCTTCTACGTGGTGACTTTACCGACAGAACCAAGAATATGAACCACAACACGTCGCTGTCCTCGTCCAGGAGCATAAACCATCATCACGCAAACTCCGGTCTCCTCGCAGCAGCAGCAGCAGCGGCGGCGGCTCTTGGCCGCATATCACATGCTTTCAAGTGCGCTTCTGCGGCCGTCTGGAACGCTCTTCCTTCCGATATTAGAAAGCCACTGGGGCTACACACTTTTAAATCATCATCATCTAGATTGAAAACTAATTTTCGATTTAAAGCTTTCGTGACTGCAAGGATTCATCTTCTTTGGTTCTTTCGGTAAAGTCACTTAGAATGAGAATGAAATAATAAATTGATAAAATAAAATAACACAATAATATTCTCACGACGTTTCGGCCACAACACAAGCGGCCTTCATCAGGTGAAGGGACGAGACTGTCTGGAGGACAGCGCTGGAGTGAAAAAGCCACGCTCAGATCACGACCTTTAAGCTGTGTGAGAAGAAACAAAGCACCTTCACAAAGGAATTAGCATATAATTTAGCATTGAAATGGCTGAGTGATTAGCTTGTGACTGGTCACAGAAATGGCTATGTTAAAGTTAAAGCATACACATCCGCAAAGGCACCCCTTGACAAAGGAATTAGCATAGAATTTAGCATTGAAATGGCTAAGTTAAAGTATACAAATCCGCAGAGGCACCCCTTGACAAAGGAATTAGCATAGAATTTAGCATTGAAATAGCTGAGCTCAGTTACAAGCTAATCACTCAGCCATTTCAATGCTAAATTATATGCTAATTCCTTTGTCAAGGCGCTTTGTTTCTTCTCACACAGCTTAAAGGTCGTGATCTGAGCGTGGCTTTTTCACTCCAGCGCTGTCCTCTAGACAGTCTCGTCCCTTCACCTGATGAAGGCCGCTTGTGTTGTGGCCGAAACGTCGTGAGAATATTATTGTGTTATTTTATTTTATCAATTTATTATTTTCTCATTCTACGTGACTTTACCGAAAGAACCAAAGAAGATGAAAACTAATTTGTTTAGAACTGCTTTTTGTGTTTCGTTTGGTGTCCTTCCCCCGCACCTCCAATTATTACGGTTGGCTATGTACGGTGTGAAAAAAGTTAAACCTTTGATTGCGAGCATAATTCGTTCCGGATACGTGTTTGTAATCCAAAGCACTCGTATATCAAAGCACTCGTATATCAGTTGTGATCACGTGACACTCGGCAGACAAAGCGTCTATACGTACTACTACTCGTATTGCAAGACCCTCGCTCGTTTATCAAATTAATATTTATTTTAAAAAAATTGCTCGTCTTGCTAAACATTCGCAGACCAAGTTACTCGCAATCCAAGGTTTTACTGTACATACAAAGATCCCCCGTATAGCCTTAACAGACTGTTGGGGCAAGTGCTGTTAGCAAACTCCTACGAAGGCCGGCAGGGCACACGAGAGGGTGGGTTGCCAGCACCACGCCCGGCCGCCTTTGTCTCTCCGGTGGCGATGTTTACTACACACCGCACCAGGTACTCATTTGAGGCTGAGTCGACCTAGGGGAAGCCCAGGACCAGTTCAAATATTCGTCACTGGTGGTGGCCGTGAGCGGGAATTGAACTCGGGTCGCCGGGTTCGTAGCACAGCCCACACACGTGCAGCTAACGAGGGAGGCTTAGAGGTCTTCATCCAGCAGTGGTTAGACCACGACTCCCGTTGTGAACGATACTGCGGCAATACACTGCTGATGAGCAGTTAGTTTGCGCTAATCGCTGCACCACCGCTCCCCACGAGTTCCACACGCATTTACAGTACCTCCTCCCTCACTCCTCTTCCACCCGTGAGGTCCGGCTGGGAGTACTTGGCTCTTCACCACACTAAAACTAATCTTTTTTTTATCTCACCAGATAAGGCCCTCGTAGAGACCCATACAGATCCACAGAGACCAGTACTCTGTAGAGAACCACGGAGATCCAGAGGTTTCGTCTAGAACCACAGACACCCGCAGAGACCCACTGAACCTACCCATACCCTATTTGAGAAGTCACCTGGCTATCACAAATAGTTCAACGAAGTGGGCTTGTCATGATCGCGTGAAAAGCTTTCGCCGCAGCCAAACAAAATACTCTAAACGTGTGCTGTCGATTCTACATGTGTAGGGGAAAATCGGAAGACCCATGAACAAAATCCGCGTGACCACGGGACGAGAGAACACGAGAGCTCCCAAGTACAGGTAGTAGTACTTTACTTACGATGGAGGTGCGTTACGACGACCCCCACATCCGTAAGTCAAAAACATCGTAAGTGGAAGATGTCCTTAGCCTACCCAGGAGTCTTAAAGAATGGTGATAATTTAGCAAAACAGAGCAATTTACAGTACGGTACTGTATAAACTATATACAGTATGTATTTATTAATTACAATACTCCTATTGCACGGTAAAATGCAAAGTAAAAAAAAACAAGGTAAATTCTTAGCCTACCTATATCAACTGCAATTGAATAGAAAGTTTTTTTCAGGAAACAATCCTATCTCCTATTAAAAGTTTTACATGCATTGAACGTACAGTATCGTGGTAACCCTAAAATTAAATCGCTAAAGCTACGTATCATGCATGCATTGAACGTACAGTATCGTGGTAACCCTAAAATGAAATCGCTAAAGCTACGTATCACGCATGCATTGAACGTACAGTATCGTGGTAACCCTAAAATGAAATCGCTAAAGCTACGTATCACGCATGCATTGAACGTACAGTATCGTGGTAACCCTAAAATGAAATCGCTAAAGCTACGTATCACACATGCATTGAACGTACAGTATCGTGGTAACCCTAAAATTAAATCGCTAAAGCTACGTATCATGCATGCATTGAACGTACAGTATCGTGGTAACCCTAAAATGAAATCGCTAAAGCTACGTATCACATGCATTGAACGTACAGTATCGTGGTAACCCTAAAATTAAATCGCTAAAGCTACGTATCACGCATGCATTGACCGTACAGTATCGTGGTAACCCTAAAATTAAATCGCTAAAGCTACGTATCACGCATGCATTGAACGTACAGTATCGTGGTAACCCTAAAATGAAATCGCTAAAGCTACGTATCATGCATGCATTGAACGTACAGTATCGTGGTAACCCTAAAATTAAATCGCTAAAGCTACGTATCATACATGCATTGAACGTACAGTATCGTACCTCGTACGCTGCCGCGTTTGCCTGCCGCGCGAAATTTAAAATATCTTACAATTTTGTCGCATCGCCATCGTAAGATCTAAATATCGTAAGTCGGACCTTCGTAAGTCGGGGACTACCTGTATACAACAGGAGTCTGGGTCGGGGATCGTGCCCACGACCTCCTGCACGTCAGGCGAGGTAGTTAACATCTACCAGCCCACCACACGGACGACGATGACGATGGGTGAACCGGCTCTGTTCCTCGCGTGGGGGGGGGGGGGGGGTGGGGCCCGGGTGCCCGGGTGCCCGGGCTGTGGAATCCCACGTCCGAGACCACCTTCATCTTAAGGGGCTTTCCTGTTTCTCGAATCGTACGTTTTGGGGTTGGATTTGGGGTTGGGCTTGGGGTTGGGCTTGCTTCGCGGGGTCGCGCCTCCTAGCCACCGGCGGGTGTGTGGGAGGGTCGCGGGTTCGATCCCGACCCTGACGTGTGACGCCTGTGTGTGTTTGGATTGATTCGGGTTCGATGGCGTCAATGGTAAATGTGTCGTTGAACCCGGCTCCATCCGACGCGGAAAGTTAGCGGGGTTTGTTAGCGAAAGGAAACGTGCCTGACGATGAAGCTGGTTGTAACCGCCAGAGAAATGTCGGCCTCGGCTTGTAAGCGTTGTGGATTTGCCCTCCGACACAGCGGTGTGCTTTGAGTAGTCGCTCATTGCCACGTTTTTGTTTACGTGACAAACTTTGCGAATTGTCTTCGTCGGGTGGTGGTGGTGGTGGTGGATTAGCAACAAATCTTTATTTACGTGATCTAACCCAAAAACAAAACTATATTATTGTACGTTCGGAGGTTGCGTGTCTCTCTCTCTCTCCCCGTGGCCGCGTGGATTTTTCTCAAGGTCCTCCGGTTCCCTCCCCCCCCCCCCCTCCACATTTAGAATTGACGTCGTGCGTTCAGAGCATTTGGCCGCTATGAATTCGTGATGAATGATAAGCCACTTCGGTGAGCTTATCATTCATGGCCAGGTAGCTTTTGAAAGAGAGCTACATAGCTCAGCAGTGTGCCTTACCCTAGTAAAATAGTTTAGTTTAACATGTAGGTGCTTTCGTGACCAACATCATCCATAATACAGGTTTTTTTGGGGTTAGATCACGTAAATATATGCATGTGGCTGTCGCCTGAGGAAGCTGGTTGTAATTGCTGGTGAAACGTCGTACTCGGATTGTAAATGTTGTGTCTTGGCTCTCCAACACACAACCGGTGTGCCGTACTAGTACACTATACACTACACTATACACTACACTATACACTACTATACACAACACTACTATACACTACACTACTATACACTACACTATAGACTACAGTATACACTACACTACTATATACTACACTACTATACACTACACTACTATACACTACACTATACACTACACTTTACACTACACTACTATACACTACACTATACACTACTATACTATACACTACACTATACATTACACTATACACTACACTATACACTACTATACACTACACTACTATACACTACACTACTATACACTACTATACACTTCACTACTATACACTACACTATACACTACACTACTATACACTACACTACTATATACTACACTACTATACACTACACTACTATACACTTCACTACTATACACTACACTATACACTACACTACTATACACTACACTACTATACACTACACTACTATACACTTCACTACTATACACTACACTATACACTACACTACTATACATTACTCTACACACTAGTGCTGTACTAGTGACGAATTGGCCACGTTCTGTTTACGTGACAACCCTTACTGGTTGGCTGTGTAGGGTGGTGGCGGGTTTAACAACACAACATTTATATTTTTACAGCGATCTAACCCCAAAAACTGTATTATGGAGAATTAGTTTAGTTTTCAATAGTATTTACATTGGCGTCACCCTACATGGTTTTATTTTGTTCCTCAATGAACAGTGACCTCTATACAGTGACCTCCATGCATTGCCCCGTGACCTCCATGTAGTGCCCCGTTACCTCAATGCAGTGCCCTGTGACCTCCATGCAGTGACCTGTGACCTCAATGCAGTGCCCCGTGACCTCCATTCAGTGCCCCGTGACCTCCATGCAGTGCCCTGTGACCTCAGTGCAGTGCCCCGTGACCTCCATGCAGTGCCCCGTGACCTCCATGCAGTGCCCCGTGACCTCCATACAGTGCCCTGTGACCTCAATGCAGTGCCCTGTGACCTCAATGCAGTGCCCTGTGACCTCCATGCAGTGCCCCGAGACCTCCATGCAGTGCCCCGTGACCTCCTTGCAGCGACCTGTGACCTCCATGCAGCGACCTGTGACCTCCATGCAGTGCCCCGTGACCTCCATGCAGTGCTCCGTGACCTCCATGCAGTGCCCCGTGACCTCCATGCAGTGCCCCGTGACCTCCATGCAGTGCCCTGTGACCTCCATGCAGTGCCCTGTGACCTCCATGCAGCGACCTGTGACCTCCATGCAGCGACCTGTGACCTCCATGCAGTGCCCCGTGACCTCCATGCAGTGCTCCGTGACCTCCATGCAGTGCCCCGTGACCTCCATGCAGTGCCCTGTGACCTCCATGCAGTGCCCTGTGACCTCAATGCAGTGCCCCGTGACCTCCATGCAGTGCCCCGTGACCTCCATGCAGTGCCCCGTGACCTCCATGCAGTGCCCTGTGACCTCCATGCAGTGCCCCGTGACCTCCATGCAGTGCCCCGTGACCTCCATGCAGTGCCGCGTGACCTCCATGCAGTGCCCCGTGACCTCCATGCAGTGCCCCGTGACCTCCATGCAGTGCCCCGTGACCTCCATGGCTCTCTGTGTAACTTTTGACGATGCATCTCTGGTCTAATGCCAGTGGCGAGACAGGCGATAAATGAGGCCGTCTCTGGCGCAGGCCAATCGGTGTAAAGGACGATGCGTACATTTTGATCAAAGAATGTCTGTGTGTCACCGCGTGTCTGTGTGTGTCACCGCGTGTCTGTGTGTGTCACCGCGTGTCTGTGTGTGTCACCGCGTGTCTGTGTGTGTCACCTCGTGTCTGTGTGTGTCACCTTGTGTCTGTGTGTGTCACCGCGTGTCTGTGTGTGTCACCGCGTGTCTGTGTGTGTGTCACCTCGTGTCTGTGTGTGTGTCACCGCGTGTCTGTGTGTGTCACCTCATGTCTGTGTGTGTCACTTCGTGTCTGTGTGTGTGTCACCTCGTGTCTGTGTGTGTCGCCTCGTGTCTGTGTGTGTCACCGCGTGTCTGTGTGTGTCACCGCGTGTCTGTGTGTGTCACCTCGTGTATGTGTGTGTGTCACCGCGTGTCTGTGTGTGTCACCGCGTGTCTGTGTGTGTCACCTCGTGTCTGTGTGTGTGTCACCTCGTGTCTGTGTGTGTCACCGTGTGTCTGTGTGTGTGTCACCTCGTGTCTGTGTGTGTCACCGCGTCTGTGTGTGTCACCTTGTGTCTGTGTGTGTGTCACCTCGTGTGTGTGTGTGTCACCGCGTGTCTGTGTGTGTCACCGCGTGTCTGTGTGTGTCACCGCGTGTCTGTGTGTGTCACCTCGTGTATGTGTGTGTGTCACCGCGTGTCTGTGTGTGTCACCGCGTGTCTGTGTGTGTCACCTCGTGTCTGTGTGTGTGTCACCTCGTGTCTGTGTGTGTCACCGTGTGTCTGTGTGTGTGTCACCTCGTGTCTGTGTGTGTCACCGCGTCTGTGTGTGTCACCTTGTGTCTGTGTGTGTGTCACCTCGTGTGTGTGTGTGTGTCACCGCGTGTCTGTGTGTGTCACCGCGTGTCTGTGTGTGTCACCGCGTGTCTGTGTGTGTCACCGCGTGTCTGTGTGTGTCACTTCGTGTCTGTGTGTGTGTCACCTCGTGTCTGTGTGTGTCACCTCGTGTCTGTGTGTGTCACCGCGTGTCTGTGTGTGTCACCGCGTGTCTGTGTGTGTGTGACCTCGTGTCTGTGTGTGTCACCGCGTGTCTGTGTGTCACCGCGTGTCTGTGTGTGTCACCGCGTG